ATCAGTACGGCTGGGCCGTTGATGGAGTTCGACAATCACCCGGAAATCTATGTATCCTACTTTATTCAACGTGGGAATTTTGCTGGCTTCGGTCAAGTTTTCCGATAACACTCGGGCCGATGGAATTATTACTCCTCTATCCGCCAGTTCTCGCCCCCTGGCCCCAACCTATTTCTGGGCGAATTTGCTCAGCACCAACGTGAGTCCAATCGAAAACAGCAAGGGCAGAACATCTTAACGGACGAGCGCATTGGTCCAAATCAGGCGTCGAAACTAACGGCCACTATTGGGCAGCGGTTGGGGCATCTCCCCCATGCTTGTACTTCAACCATTCAGTGAATCGGAGCTTGAGCGGTTCCAGATACTGGAAGTATGGCTCATGACGCGCCGGCGGCTGCGCCGTGGCGCTGTCAGGTCTCCAGGACGGGACGGCCCCCGGCTGCGAATTTGAAAACGTTTGGCCTGCCAAGGCAGCCCGGCGACGTGCCTCTGGGTTACTAACCCACTTGCGCTGGCGTTGTTCAGCTTTGTTCAAATTGCCCAGCGCATCGGCAGAACTTTTACCCATTGCTCTCAGCCTGCGAGACATGATCTTGGAGCCGCTTCCCCCTCTTGGGGGCGCATTGAGACGTGGACTCAGCCCTAGGTTCGCCCATGCAGCAACCAATGCACGTCTACCGGGTGGCGTTAAATAATCCTTTCGGACGTTGCATGTGCACGCAACTGGGGTAAGGCATTGCAAACAATACCCGGAACCAGCCCTCACAGCATGGAAGTGCTGGCAGATGAACCTCCCATCGCCAGTCCAGTTTTCGCATGATAAGGGCCATCTCTTCGTCTGACAATTGACCCTGCCCTACAACGTCTAAGTCATTTTCCGACAATATCCACGTTTTGATCGTGTCTGGTGAAAAGACCACTTCATATGCAGTCAATTCTTGAGACAATATAACGTTCCAGATGATATGCTGTGCTTCGTGCATTTTCTTCAATCAACGACAGTTGCACAATACGAGACGTCATTGGAGCGTGCTCGTCCTGTTGTCACGAGAGTGCCGTAGCGACAGATGCGATATCGTAGGCGGGTCACTATGCGCCCGTTAAAGACAACAACATATTGCCAGTTCACATTATGCGTCGAGACAGTCTCCCACAGAGCTGGGGTTAGTTCGCGAGGCCAAGTTCCCTGAATCGGAGGTCCGCTCCTGGAAAGGGGTAGAACCCGCGGCCTTATAGACCTTTGCGGGCGCGGGGCATCACCACCCCTCCTCTGGCGAAGCCAGCGAGGGATGCGCTCGGCATATCCAGCAGGGAATTCGCGCCTCGTGGGTATTAGTCTAAGAAATCCGTAGTCGAGTGCTTTGCACAACCCACTGGGCTTGTTAGGGCATTTAATTACCCTGAGTCGAACGTGGACTCCTTGATGGCTGCCAAGCTTGTGACGTGCAATAAGTGCCCATGACATTGCGCCATTCCAAATCCATAAGGCGCACACATGCGTTCTATGCTATGGGCAAAACAAAAGTGTCCTTGACACGCACGGAAGAAAACTGGCATGGGCCTGCGAGCCCGATCAGCTCAAAGAAACAGCTACATTTCCATTTTCCCCATTAACGACTGCGTCGTGTGAGGCGTCTCGGTCTAGAAAACACTTCCAGCAATCCATCAGTTTTGTCCGGTCAAAAAACATAACGCCATCAGCCTTTATTCCGCGGACGTCAACTTCACCCGATGATAACATCGCTAGACCATGTACAGCAATGGCAATCCTGGCATGAGTGATCCCCTCATTTGTCATTTTCCGAATGAAATCGCCAAAATACACCCACCCGCCTTTCGGGTATGTAAATCATATACGAGTATGACAACATGCCCATCCGAAATATGAATTTACACTATCCCAGGGGGGGGCGGTATCGACCCCCCGGAGGTTCCTTGTAAAAAACAATACGCGAGGACATATTTTGTTCCACCATGACACGTTTGCACGAATCCCTTGCAAAAAAATGGGACGAAGTGTACACGCGCGCGCCGTCGCGCGCGCATGCCGAAATCCTTCAAAAACCTTCGGTGCCAGAAAGATTTCGTAATCGAGTTTCCAACAAGCCTACAAAAACACAGGGTTTCGTAACACTGATTTGATATTAAACAACAACAACAACAACAACAACAACAATCATTATACCCGAACGCTCAGTGTTCTCCCCAGTGCCAGGGTTTTCATGCGACGCCAGCCAATACCCCCACTTCGTGGGGGGGCAATGCAAGCTCTACCAAACATCCACACGACTCTCGGGAACCACCCACACCCAGCTTCCCGCCCTATGACGTCAGGACACTTCACTTCGTGGCGCGCGGACGATCGTGGATACTACACTGGCGTGGAGTACACACCCGCAGAGGTTGATCACTTGTTTGGGCCCCGCCTGTGCCCCGCATCGTGCATTCGTTGCGCATGACATAGAGAGAGCAAGACAGAGAGAGAGAGAGCAAGACAGAGAGACAGAGAGAGAGAGAGAGAGAGCAAGACAGAGAGCCAGAGGAGAGAGAGATAGACAGAGATTCGTCACATGTGTGAGGCAACCCGAGAAGATGTGGTACACGGTACACGTGAGATGGTACGCACTGCCAAGATAGTTGGTCACATTTTTGGGGCAATTTCCTGGGAAGGCGATTACACAAGTAGATGTGTTACGTATGATAGAGATGAAGCAGAGAAAGAGCGAGAGACATAGAGAAGGAGAGAGAGGAGTCGGTCACATCTTTAGGGCAACTTCCTGAGGGATGTGGGAGGACACCAGAGAGAAGGTATCGTTGTCCCGATGGTTGTCTCGATGGTTGCCCCGATGGTTGTCCTGATGGTTATGGTTGTCCCGCTCGTTTTCCCGATGCTTGTCCAAATGGTTGTCCCGATGGTTGTCCCGATGGTTGTCCCGATGGCTGTCCGTCTGCGATGCAATGTTGTCTGTTTCTGCTGTTATACAGTCCCAAGGATGACACATGCATTGCTCATACTTTCTCCTGCTTTCGCAAACAGGTCCAGTCACACTATGAATATACACGAAGCATACTAAGGCGACTCGTCGTCTGCGACGTCGCGAATACGCTTGGGTACACGGCTGCCTGGCTGATGCAGGTGCGGGCCTGGCTGATACCCGTGCGCTCCCAAATGGCCAATGATATTGCCGATACGCCTGCTGGCGGGAGAGCCGGGGCTCGCATACGGCAGTGCTAACGCGAGCACGTTGTGGACCTGCGGCGGCAAAGCCGGGTAATCGAGCATGTTCGGATACTCGTCGCTCTGACCAAAAGACCGCCATACGGGCAACCACCACCACTGGTCTTGACGCGGATACTTCATCTCTGGGCCGACCTCAGGAGATACGTTCCAAATGGCCATTTTCTGCGGGTCCGTACCCATGAAGGCCGCGTGATACGCAATGAATACGTCCAAGGTGGCGAGGGCCCTGTAGGAGAGGCCGGATACGATCTCCGCATGAATGGGAATACCGAGCTGACCGAGCAAATACCGCATACTGCTATACACCCACTGGCCCGGGTGGACGAAAAGGTTGGCTTTCCAGGCGACGATACCTCGCCCGGTGCATAGCGTGTCGAATACGTGCAGAAGATAGCCAATGGGCTTCCCAAGCCTCTCATCCTGGAATACCGAGAAATTCCCGAATACCGCGTGCGCGTAGAAGAATGCCTCGAAGTAAAGCCAATCCGGCTCGGGGATGCCCCCCATACTGTGCTGGTAGTCCGGGTCGTTGTTCGTCTTCGACTGCCTCGTGGACACGCCGCTCGATACGGCGAGGCATACGCCCTTGACACCCTCCCATAGAATAGGGAAGAAGATACCGCACGCGAACCACCTCTCCGAGCCACACTGCTTGAGCCAGCGCCGCGCATACGCCTCGTCGTTGGGTGGCGTGTGCCAGCGCTCCATACTGTAGCGCACTTCATCATCGCTTGGGTAATACTCGCCCGTCACGGGGTCGAGCCGACCGGCCATCTGGGAAGCCATACGGAAGGCCGGCAATATGAGGGTACGATCTCGCGATATACAGTAAGCGGCTTGAGCAGAAACCGCTACGTACAAACAGAAGCAAACCGCATACATGTGCCCAAATGCCAAAGTCCATACGACCGTACACGCAGAACACTCATGCGAGCGCCGTCGGCAAGACGAAATCCGCCGCCGCACATGCGACCAGAGCAGGCATACTCACTTCATCTTTTCATTTGAATCCACAGGCCTCATAGACTTCCCCTGGGAACCCCCCAGACGCCCTCATAAACTTCCCCTGGGAATCGGGTCACAGCCACTAAGACAATCGGACCCTGGGAACCCCCCAGATACCCAGAGAGGTCTGGCGGCTGGGGCCGAAGGCCTAAAGAGAATACATAACCACAGGGCCCTGGGAGGCCCTCCCAAGATCCCCAGATGGGTCTGGCGATTCCGTGGGAAAGCCCTCGGAGCACATATTACACGTGAGCCGTGTTGCACATGATACATATTGCACATGATACGTCTGCTAGCCATGGGACACATACACACCAGAGTTGGTCACATTTCTGGGGCACGTTTTGACACACATCCCCGTGTCATGTATGATACGTATAGCACATGAAACGTATGATAGACATGAGAGCAAAAGAGGCTCACGCAGGCTGAGGCCGAGGCTGAGGGTGAAGCTGAAGCTGGAGCAGGCTGAGGCTGGGACACGCTGAGCTGATGCAAGCTGAGGCTGAGACAGGCTGAGGCCGACGCTGAGGCAGGCTGGTGCTGAGGCTGAGGACGATACGTCACCGTCGCCGTCGCCGTCGCCGTCGCCGTCGCCGCCGTCACCCTCGCCGTCGCCGCCGCCGCCTCCGTCGCCGTTGCCATACCCATGATTCTCGATGCACGTGTATGTCATTACTGGTGGCTCTTCTTTCATACAGCTCTGCTTGACCCCAAAGTCTGCCACAATGCCCTATACAACTGAGCACCGCCCCTAGGGCTCAGCCACCAGCGCTTCCAACGTGGCTTTGGATACACGTCTGGTGATCCACCTTCCCTGCACTTTAATTCTTTGATACTCGCTGGCGCCGCGAGCGTGCGCTGCGGATACCAGCTCCTGGTACGTCCGTTTGCACGCACCGGTGCCTGAAGGCTGCAGCATACCTCGCTTCACGAGCAGAGCGAGCTTCTTCACCGTATGCGACTTCCCGTACTTGATACCCAGACCTTTGGCGGCCTTGACCAAGCCGCGGTACTGCTGCGAAGGCTGCCTCGCATACGTCTGCACCTTCTGTGTCAATACGCTGAGACAACTCGCAAGCACACGGAGCTCTGGAATACCGTCAGATTCTACCTTGGGACACAGACGGCGGCGACCGAGCTGATACGCCACCTCGCAAGGTCCGCCGTCTGATACGCCACCTCCCAAGGTCCGCAGCACAGCAAGCGATACTCCCACACAGCTGCGGATCGCCTCCAAAAGCTGAATTGTGTGACAACGCGTCGATACTAGCCCAGGCCGGACACGCGAAACGTTTGCCCGCACAGACTTGCTCTTGTCATACGCGTCAATGAGATACCAAACACCATGCAACGAATACCTGTTGATAGCCTGCCGCGTCTCGCAGAACAATACATACATGGTCGCGACGCTCACTTGAGACGTGCTGTTGAGAGCCTTCCTCATACGACCCAATGCTGTGGTCATTGTGTCGCAGGAAACCACGCCAAAATACGCGAGCTCCGCAGCAGCATGGCGTGCCCACTTCCGACACTGCCGCTTCAGAAACCACTGATGCAGCTCCTCGGTATACTCCGTAGGCGTGAAGCCCATGCAATACTCAACCATGTGCATAAAACACCTCATACAGTCCATGCTGTTATACTTACCGGCCATCTTCACCTTGTTCTTCTGCACGGCCACGGCCACGTAGTCCGGGATACTGTCCCCCATGGCCATGATGTCCGCGCTGGGGATACCGTCGCCACGGGGACGCTGAAGCCCCGATGCTATGTGCGCCCACTTCTCCGCAAATGCGACAAGACGCCGTCGTATACGAACCCTGCGAAGTGTACGGATAAAGTGCAAGCCGGAATACTGAGTATGCAAGCCTTCTCGATGGGCTAAATAGGAGCACCCTTTTTCTTTGCATACTGCGTCGCAGTGACGGACGAGTCCTAAACAGAAAGCATCGAAGTCGTGCACGAATACGCTCCACTGATCCAAAATGTAATCGCATACGACAGGTACTCCTGCCTGCCCTCTGGTAAAACGCAGTAATACGAAAGACATAGGCTGAGGCATAGGCTGGCTGAGGCTGAGGCAGGCTGAGGCTGAAGCAGGCTGAGGCTGAGGCTGAGGCAGGCTGGGGCTGAGGCTGAGGCAGGCTGAGGATGTAGTAGAGGATACGTATGGCACATGAGGCGTAGGACAGACATGGAAGACGCACAACAATTGGTCACAGTTTTGGGTCAGATTTTGGGACACATGTTATTATATATGATACATCTTGCACAAGAAGTAGACATGAAACACGTACACACAAGAGGTGGTCACATTTTTGAGGCCAGTTTTGCCACACATTCACATGTTATGTATGACACGTATTGCACACGAGACGTATGATAGACATGAGACAGAGACCAAAGTTGGTCACATTTTTGGGGCAAATTTTGGGCTGCGCTGAGGCCGAGGCTGAAGCAGAGGCAGGCTGAGGCTGAGGCAAGCTGAGGCTAAGGCTGAGGCTGAGGCTGAGGCAGGGCGGGGCTGAGGCTGAGGCAGGCTGAGGCTGAGGCTGGGGCAGGCTGAGGCCGAGGCTGAGGCCGAGGCTAAGGCTGAGGCAGGCTGAGGCCGAAGCTGAGGCAGAGGGATGAAGCAGGCTGGCTGAGGCCGAGGCTGAGGCTGGTACAGGCTGAAGCTGAGGCAGGCTGAGGCCGACGCTGAAGCAGCTGATGCCGAAGCAAGCCGACGCTCCGTTACCGTCGGCGTCGCCGTCGCCGTCGCCGCCGTCGCCATCACCCTCGCCGTCGCCGTCTCCGTCGCCGTCTCCGTCACCGTCGACGTCGCCGTCGCCGTCGCCGTCGCCGTCGCCGTCGCCGTCGGCGGCAGCCCGCTATGCCACCCGGGACGTCGGAGCATACACCAACACACCAGAAGGTGACATGTTTCGGCCATTTTTTTTTGCCACTCCCCGCTCTTCATCTGGCACTACTCTGGCATACGTGCCGCCCGGGACGTCGGAGCATACACGAAGAAACCGAGACACTACTGTGGAAAAGTAGCCTGGCATACCGTGCCCTCAAGCATCCCCGAAATCGTTGACGGCGCGGACCTCGCTCACCGCCTCCACGTCAATACCGTTGTGGCCCAACGAATGGCGAAGCTTCACACCGGCCTGGAACTCTTCAAGTGATACCTCGTGCTGCGATGGACCAGCTCCGTGAAAGCTGTTGCCGTGATACCTGAAGCAGGTGGTAGCCCGATGATGGCATTGAGCAACAAAGGACAACCCCCCGCAACTTTGCCAATTGGCCATCATACGCACTCGCGAAAGTTTAGTCTTGTCGAGCCAGTCATACAGCTGCTTCGCATACTTGTCCAGCTCCGCTGGCGTCCTCCCGGTCGCCTGCACTTGCTCCTCCGTGCCGCTCGAACGCAGGAGAGCAGCACCCTTCTTCTCATACTGCTTTTTCGGAGCCAGGCAATACTGCAAGGCCGGCAGGATATAGTCAATCTCTTTGTACAACTCCTCATACAGCTGCGGCTTCAATACCGCCTCGTTGTTCTTCTTGACCGCAGGATCGTTTTGATACTCGCAGAAGGTCTTCATCGCGTGAATGAAACGGTTGATACCGACACCCCTCCGCTCCGGCTCCTTGCTGCACATCTCCGACATCCATACGGCCCCACTCTTCAGCGGCTCCTGCATCTGTGTCCATACCTGCTTGTCCGACAGCTTCGCGAACTTCGAAGGCCCGTATACGTTGAGCAACTGCGCGGGCGCCGTCTCGTATACCCTCAGCCACTCCCGCTTTTTCTGGTCCGTCGGCTTCTCCCCGGAACCAGACTGGGACGCGGGGCCAGACTGGGACGCGGTGCCAGACTGGGACGCCAGCGCGAAGTCTGGGCAACCGTCGAGCGCCATACGAAACCGGAGGGAATACACTTCCGAGTGGGCAGACTGGAACAACCGTGCCAAATTTGAGAGTATATGGCTGCAGCTATCAACCCATACGTATAACACATAGTGCACACGGTGTGGTAGACTGATGATAATGATGATGATGATGATGGTGGCACGGACTTTGGGGGAGAGCCCTCGGCGAAGCGCAGACTGCGTGTGAGGGCCCGAAGACGGCCAATGACCGGCCCCAGAGAGCCTGTGATACCCCGAGGAAAGCCTGTGGTGGCCCCAAGACAGTGAAGTCCGCCGCCGCACATGCGACAAAGCCAGGCATACTGAACATTTTTTGATGCCCCCGAGACCTCATTGATGTCCTATTTGTTCTTCTATTGATATCCAAATTCGAAGCGTTAGATCTTATACACAGTGCACATGATATGCAGACCCGTCTCATACATGTTGCAGAGGAGTATACGAGACAAACCAAGTGTTAGTCACATTTTGGGGGCAACTTTTGGCTCACATGCTATGGTTACATATTACATATTGCACAGGATACGTAAGTTGACCATTAGCCAGAGCGGTTGGTCACATTGTTGGGGCAAATTGTGGCTCACATGCAATGAGCGCGTATGTGCATATTGCAACTGGTACGTATGTTAGCCGTTAGACAGAGAAGTTCATCACATTTTTGGGGCAAATAGACTTCACATGCAGTGATAATAATATACATGACAAAAAAACATGACGCAGACAAATTGGTCACATTTTTGGGGCAACTCCTGCCTCACACACTTTGGATACAAATTTTGCCTCACATGCCGGTCGCTACGTATATGCATGTTGCAGATGTGGACAGACACAAAACCAAAAGTTGGTCACATTTGTGGGGCAAATTTTAGCTCACATGCTATGGAGTGGTTGCAATCATACATGTTTCAAATGATATCCCAGACATGGGAACAACATTGGTTCACATTTGTGGGCGCAGATTCTGACTCACATGCAATTGTTGAGAATACTACTCATTGCACATGATACTCATACAGTATTACACATGATGCGTATGGCAGACATGATACAGAGACACCGTGTGGTCACATTTTTGGGGCAAGTTGTTGCCGCCACGATGCTCGATGCAGATGATACATGCGGGCCCTGATTTTTTTGGTCGACGTCCAGCTCCATACGACATTGATCACTCCGGCGTCGCCGTGCCGCCGTACACCAGCAGCTCGCCGTTCTCGCCCCGCACTTCTTCCCTCACTGGAAGCTCACTGCATACGCCCATCTCCTCATACACTGGAGCATCGCCAGCCTCCGCACTGGCACCTGCAGCAAAGTCTGCAAGGGTACGCTTGCACTCAGTCTTGGATACATCTGCCGGATCCTCTGTGCTCACGAGGAAGTCCACGAGGTTGTTGCCCGTGTCGATGGATACAACAGGGTCCGCGTCATACTCACCTTGATCTGCAAGAGCATACTCCATGCCTTTCCCCTCGTCGTCAGATGACGATACAGAGTCATACCCGCGCTCCAAAATCTCGCCCTCCTGCTCGGGCCCAGCCGGCAGGAAGTCACTGCGGCGGAGCTTGCCGAATACATGGCAGCCCTCGCGAGACTTGAAGCGACTGCAGGCAACGTAGCCATACCCTCTCGTAGCCACTCTCTTCTTCTGCTCGAAATATACACAGCCGTGAAAGAGATCCGCGCCCTGCGCTCGACGCACCGTGGTCGCATACCCGTAGCAGCAAGGCAGGAATACCTCTCCGTTCTCCTCGATGGGGTGCACCAATACCATGTTGCCCGTACCCACCAGCCTGGCTGTAAACACTGAGTGTCCACGAAGCGACTCGCATACCGTGGCCAACGCCCCATTCACAAAGCCCCGCTGTTTGTCAAAGTTCCGACTCAGGCGAATGACGATACCAGGTCTGGCCAGAATGCGTAAGTCGGACTTCGTGGTCGGGTCGCAATACCCACCCTTTTTCAGATCGGCCTCACTAATGCCGAGTAATGCCAGCGCCGCTCTGCATACCTCCGCCGAGCCCGCGTTCGTACACGTGAGCCAAGAAAACGGATGCCCTTTCTCCGCCGCCAACGCCATACCGCGCTCAACACAGGCCTCCAAGCACTCATGATGCCAGTGGCGGTCTCCAAAATACTCAGTCAAAACCGCTCGATCTGGCTGAGCCTCACGTATACGATTCAGGAAAACCAAGTGCTGCTTGTCAGCGGTGCGATACACGGTCTTCAAGTCGACCTTGTCCATTTGGTTGCAGAAGTGCTCGCACTGGCCCCCGCTCAATACTGGCTGCAACTGCTTAAAATCGGCCACGATAGCAGTGAAGGGTTTGTGCGGCTGCTCCCGCACCGAGGCGAAAAACCGCATCCATTCCTGGTCTTCATACTGGCTCCCTTCATCGCAAAGAATCAAATCAATACTTCTCAAAGCCGAGGGTGGGGCCCAGCGGACCTTGCCGTCCTTGCCGGCCCTCTTATACTTCAAGACTCCTTGTATCGTGTCCACTCGGATATTCTCAATACCAGGTCTGTCGGGCAGCTTGGACTTGTACTGGTGCACGAGATACCCGGTGGGGCACACGATCAAAACCTGAAGAGACTCACATGCCCAAATGGCCAGCTCCAACAATACTGCCGTCTTCCCACTGCCGGGCGGTCCAGAGATATACAAGAAACGCTTGCTGTTCTGCTTCTCCTCCTCGTCCTCCAGCGACACAGCCTTCTTGACCCGCTCGATGGCATCAGCCTGCTCTGGGCTCCACGTGCGCTGCTGATACTTCGGCCTGTTCAAGGTATCCCACTCCTGCCGAAGGCACTCATACTCTGGCGCGTTATTGCATCGAGAAACACGCTGATACAGCAGAAAATTCGCATGTTGCTTCTGCTCAAAGCAGCCGACACGCTCATCGCGCATACCGCGAAATTGCAGATCGCGTCGGGCCAGCGAGAGCAGATACTCGAATGCTGCCCTGTCATTGGCAAATACGGGCTCTCCTGCAGTATACTCAGAGCCGAATGTGAGTATCTGGCCATCATCGCCCACTCGCATCGGCAGCGCTTGAGTGTGGAATTTGAGATCACACGACGTCTCCACGATACCAACAGTGCCGGACCAATTCCAGGACATGAGATACTCGATCATGCCCACGAAATTCTTCATACTGTCCAGGTATTTGAACGTCCGAGGGAGTAATTGTGAAGCGTATACATGTGGCAGCATAGTCAGTGAATGCTGGCCCCAGTACCCGTCCGTCAGCTCGTACCAATACCTGCAGGCGACCACTTGCGTAGGTTCATACCTTTGATTATGTCGGCCGCCACGGAAATGCACGCAGTGGTTGCAGGAATCATACTCCCTGCCACGGTGCCATACCAAGAAACTGTCCGATACGGGAACCCCTGCGACCAGCTGCTCCCTCTTCTCCTGAAGGTAAAAGCCATACATCCTCGAGGAAAAGTTACCCTGCCGCCCGTCGTAATTCACCATGGCTGCCGGCTGCGGTGGATACAGCAATACATGAGAGTAGGACCGCTCAAACTCCGACAATTGCGCCAAACGGATGGCCACTTCCGGCAGGCACGGGCTGCTCTTGCTGAGCAAGCGATACGCGGTCAGCCAGGAGCTGTTCGCATTCTTCTGCACATACTCGCCGAGCCCGACGTCGACGGCATCGTGGTCCTTCGCGACATACCCTGAAATGTAGTTGAGCCGGCCGTTGCCTATCTGAACATCTATCTCGGCGCAGAATACAAGCGAGAGGAACTTGACGAATGCCGACACGACAGCCGTCCCGGTGCGCCCCTGGAGATACTGCAACAGCCCAAAGCATACAACCCACGCGCAGATGTGCCAGTGCGGGGTGCCACGGCCTTGGTACTCGGTCTTCATACACCACTCGTAAACGATGAAGTACTTGTGGCCCCAGCGGTTCGCCAGGAACAGCCAGATACAGCGAACCAGGTAGTACATATGAAGTGACATCATATACGCACCAGCAAAAATACAGCGAAGGTACGGCTCCATGAAATACGGCCTCGGGAACTTCCACTCCGCGGGCGCGATGGTGATGAACAAGTTCGGAAACGCGCACAGCCAGACCTGTCCCCGAAGATTCCGGCAGTGTTGATACAGGGCCTCATAATTCTTCTCGTCGTAGCAGCGCACGAGCATGATACGCACAAGATCAGCGAGGGAGTCTTGCACAATCTCCCAATACCCCGCAGACGCCTGCGAGTCCCGAGACATGACATCCCCAGTGACGCCGAGGCTCTTGGCACGGACTTGTGCATTGAAATACTTGTTCGCCAAGTGCTTCTCGTACAGGAAGAACGGCAGGTCCCGCTGCTCGCCATATACGCGGGCACTGGACAGCACCTTCCGAGTCCAAGACAGGCCGATGGATACCACACGGTTCGTGCTGTCCTGGGTCTCGGCATAGTAGTGCTCCATTATACCCGTATCTGTGAAGTCCGTGGTCGGGTACAAGACGGGATACATGGCACACTCGATACCTTTCATAACCACAAAGAGGTCGTAGGAGGACAGGTTCAAGGAGCTGCGGTTCTCGATACGGATCCTCTGGGACATCAGAAAGCTATTTTATTGTTGTTGTTTTTTTGTTTGTCAGTTTTTTTTTTTGTTCTTTTTTTTTTTGGTTGGTCAACCTCGTGATCGTCTACGTCGCCGTCGATCTCGTCGTCATCGTCGTCGTCGTCGTCGTCGTCGTCGTCGTCGTCGTCGTCGTCGTCATCGTCGCCGTCGTCGTCGCCGTCGTTCTCGTCGTCGTCGTCGTCGTCGTCGTCGTCGTCGTCGTCGTCGTCGTCGTCGTCGTCGTCGTCGTCGTCGTCGTCGTCGTCGTCGTCGTCGTGGTGGGAGCCCCTGCCCGCGCGGATCCTCTGTTCCGTCAGGAAGACGCGGTAATACTTGCTGTGCTCCCTCAAGAAGTGATACGCAG